TCTAGGGGTTTTTTATAAAATAAAATTTGCAAAATCAATTTTTATCATTTTATGAAAAAACTGGATTTGTTCTCTTGTATTTAAGGAAGAAATTCTACCTAAATGACTTTACACCAATTTTTTCTCTCACTTTTTACTTCTAAGCTAAGGAAATATTATAATAGGGTCCATCTGGTGAATGGAGCCTATTACAATTCATATTTTTTCGATGTCTCATGACCTCAAAGGTACAAAAAAATAGGTCTCCCGTTTCCATCTGTCTGTCGTTTGTCGTCTGTGTCGATTTTTATTAGACATTTAATCTTCAAAATTACTACACCGATTGTTCTCAAAGTTTAGATCTATGTTAGAAAAATCAAGTGGATGTTAAAACGTTAAGCAAAATTTGTCAAATAATTCCCACCAACAATTTTATGACGTCACCGCAAAATTTTACGTAGTAAATGCTGTTTAAATTTTATTAAATAATATACTCCTATACTTGTGGGTTATGAGTGCATCTTGATTTTATTTACAATTATTTTACAAATATTTGTGCAATATTGGCCAATTGTCTCATGTTGACCTTGAGCTTGCATGAATTCTAATCCCATGCTCGTCGACTTTTTGTTTAACACATTAATTTGTTTGAATGACTGTCTTCCTGTCCAAATAACTTTAGACCATTTTTTTCCAAGACATTAAATTTGTTTGAATGTTTAACTTTAGATGCGATGGAAGTTCTGTCTAAATAGCTTTAGACCAAAACTAAAAGCCCAGGTTGTCTGAAAAAATTAGTGTTGGAATTTGTTGTATTCGACATCTCAGAAAGAGTTCTTATATTGGATAGTTGTTATTTTCGACGATGATGCCACTTTGTGTCAATGGATTTTTATAGTTTAGTGAAATTAAAAAAAATCCAAAATTACATTACATCTAGTTTTAGAGATTTTCAATCTTTTGTCCCAGTGATGACGTTTTTCAATTCGAATTCATAGTATAATACTGTTTCTCATTTGTTCTACAGTACCTAATTTGAAACGTGTAAATAAATACTTTTATTATTATTGGTTAGACGACAGTTTCTATTTTCTTATACTCTATGGGCTGTACAGGGTTAGTCACGAGAGAATTACTTCTGAAAATTATTTTTACGCAACCCAAAATACGAATACCATGTACCACTTGATACTAACTGAATTTAAAATGAAATGCTTAATCCATGATTGCTTTGAATTTGGCAATCTCATTTTGACAATTGTGGAAAATGAGGTTACGCGAGTGTCCATGGTGGTACCGCAGCCAGTCGGAAATCTCCTCCGGCGCCGCTAATAAATTTGTCAGTGTGCCTCTTGATCTTTTACAACCGATTAATCACGAGAAAATTATTTCTAAAAATTCCTTTTTTGCACTCATGACCTTTTTTGATAGCTTTCGCGCATTCACCAGAGTGCGGGAGGTCGAACTTCCCGCACACGTGCATTTAACTTCCCGTTGCCATGGTAACCTTAAAATACTCGGGTAGTGTCAACATTGTGACGTGTTGACGGCGCTGTCAATGGCGTTGTTTATAAATAACTCACAGTTAATCTCTTCAGTTTAAAGGTTTATTCGTCGCAAAAAATATTGTACACAACACGTTCGTGAGCCTGCTTCCCGCATTCACGCAAATGCGGCACTCCCTTCGGTCGTGCCTCAAACAAGCGTTCATGCGGGAAGCAGGCTATCCCGAACTAGTTGCGTAAATTACTATTACGGCATGTTATTCAAAGGTTACAACACAAACTCAAACAAGTAAGTAAATAATTTAACTACTAATCTGTTGAAAATGTTGGGCACTTTGGGGGGATGCTACGGCTTTTTTGTAAATGGATGGCCGAAGAAGTCCAGAGGTTGCAGATTTTCACTTCGAAGAGGCTCTAGGTGACGTACAGATGGCGAATTAACACATGCACATTAGCGGCGAACAACACTGGTAGAGCACTTACAGCTTCAGTATAGCCCAGATTGATCTGACTGTATGTCGTCGATCCAATGCGGCTCTAGAGGCGAGTCAACGATGAAAAAAAAATGTTAAAAATTAATTAACGTCAAAGTGACACTGCCAAAGTCAAAGCAATCATGGATTAGGCATTTCATTTTAAATTTAGATAATATCAAGTGGTACAGGGTATTAGTATTTTGGGTTGCGTAAAAATAATTTTCAGAAGTAATTCTCTCGTGACTAACCCTGTATATACCGGATCTATTTTTCATAGTGATTTTGAAAACATTATCATATTTTTTACCACATAATAACTGTAAGAAAATGGTAAGACCCGAACTATATGACAAACTGTTACTTGTGCTCCAATAAAATTTTTGAATTTTCTGGCAAAAGTATGAAGAAAATTTTTATAGCAATTCAAAACTGATCTAGTGCCTCATTCACTACCATTATTTAAATGTTTTGAAAGAAGAAACACTCGCTACAGCAACAGAACGAACAACTTTTGAACTGTCAGTTAGTGGTTAGTTTTAACCGTCTGTAGAAGATACAGCCCATTCAATAATTCAGTTATAATTCAACTACCTGAATGCCAGATTTTAATTTATTAGAAACTTTAGCAGAAATAGTAATAGGAAAGTTACAAAAATAAAACTTGTTATCATTAGGTATGCTTACTTAGGTATATTTTAATCACCAGAAAAAATGTTACAGTATTTCTCAGCTACATAGCATCTTTTCTTCTGCACTAAATTGCCAATTTTATGCCTGCATTACGTGACTCCCATAATGCAGAAGAATGGCGTCTTTTCATCGATTTTCCGGAATTGAGCTTAAAAGCTGTTCTTCGACATATCTGAATATTTACCTTCTAGTTTGCTATTTACATAAAGAACCATGTAAAATAGGGCACGTTTTCTTGACAAAATTAATTACAGAAGATGTAAATGACACCTCAGTGCTGATTTCAAAGTTGTGGCAACTCTGCTTGGTTTACAACTTGGATACATTAAGTATTGTTGTTTCGTTTGTGAGCGGGACAGCTAAGCAAGAGATTATCATTATATTATTACACAATGGCCACCAAGAGAGCAGCACGTTCCTAGGCGAATGAATAGTCCAACGACACTAGTTGAGGGAGATAAAGTTTTCTTACTAGCGTTGCGTACAAAATTGGCTTTAATGAAAAACTTCCCCAAGTCACGAAGAAACGAGATGGATTTCAATATGTCGGAGGAAATTTTGCGATATAATCGATATCAGAATTAAATAGGAGAATTTTGTAGGACTATTGTAACGCGAAATGTAGAATTTGAAGAGGTTCTAAAGTGTTCTAAATTAAGAGAGAGTTCTTTGGAGAATAATGATTATGAGAACTAAAGAGATTTTCACTGAACTTCTTATAAGATATCAAACATTACGTTTTACCGTGAGGCTTAAAATACACTTCTTAGATTCCCGCTTGGATTTATTTCCTCCAAATCTGGCGACTTGAGTGATGCGCAAAACGTTAGGGAAGTGAAATAGCGAAATGCTTGACGATTACCGCTGAAAATTGATATCACAAAGTTTAACAGCCCATTATAAAAGGAAAGTCAGGGGATTAATTCTAATTGTAATGAATATTGTCCCATTAGTAGGTATTATTGAGTGTAATATCATTTAAATATTTAAGATTTTTTAGGTGAACTTATCGAATCCTGGCTTACCAGAAACATTTTTTTTAACAATATCATTAGAACTAAACGGTATAAGTAATCGTGTGTAGACGTATTTATTGTTCTCGTTGCTTATTTTAATCTGCTAGTTTTAAATAATTACTAGGAAATTTATTTAAAGACACTGATTGATTAAAGAATTCAGTTTTATTTTCTAACGATGATAGGACGTTATGACGTTATGAGCAGTTCTCAGTTGTCTTTGTAGCAATACACTGGTGATGGATTCTTTCCTTAAGATGGATTGTCTAATAAAATGTTTGCCCCACCACATAACAAAAGGGGTCACACAGGGATGTATATTAAGTCCGTTATTATTCTTTATAGTCTCTAATGATGGAATAAAAGACGCTGTAAAACAAATAAAATCATATAAGGCAGGATTCTGGAACATGTAGGAGACAGAAGCAGACGAGAAAATAATAAGTGAAAATATAACAACATACAATGAAAATATAGGTATAGGAAATAAATATGAACTTAAACGAAGAAAAAAACGGTTTTAGATAACTAAGGAGAGTAATGACAATGGAAGGAAAATTAGACGATGAAATTGAAGACAAGAACATGAGCAACTCTTTAAAAAATAATCACACCAATCCTAACCTTAGATTTCTTAGAAAAATAGAAGCGAAAATAAGACTGTACAGAGTAAGAAATCATACAGTAAGAGAAAACCGCAATAAAAGAGGGACAATTAAATTGAACTGAATAAGATTAGTCATGTAAATGGAGGACAGCAAAACCGTATGAAACGTTTACGAAGCACAATTTTCAAAGAAAAAAAAATAAGGGAAACTCAAGGAAAACTTAAACGGTTGCGGGGAAAAAAGGTATAGAATGGAACGAAATCTCCATGAAACCACAAAACAGAAAAAGGTGTAGGGAGTCCTGGAAGAAGAATCTACGACGATAACTCAACTCCAGTGCCTTGCTTCCGAAAGGATAATAAAAGGCATTTAGGATCAAGCTAAGCTAATAACGTTGATGCTCTACTGTTTCCTCCACCGATACATTTCTTGCGAGATTCATTTTTCATGTTTAAAATATTCATATTTAACACAATAAGTGACAGCAAGGATATTTTGTACTGATGCAGCGGTTTTCGAATCAGTTTAAATCAGTTTTTGTTAAAGTTGACTTCAGTTCAAACCTCCACTTTGAAACGAAATATTTTTTGACAGTATTTAGCTGGAAATTGAAATAATACCAGTTGTTTAAGAGGTGTTTCATTTAGTTCATTTAGTCTTTGATATATATGTATATATGTGGATCTCAAAATCTTAACTGGTTTCAGCGATGTGTCTCTGTTGCAGGGACGCCGTGCCAGGGGCCATCCAGCACCGGCTGACCACGAGGTGGAGGAGAGCGACGTCAGGGCCGCTTAAGCGATGAGCCGGTGGCCGAGTCGCCCATGGACCACCCCACGACGGTGCAGGTGTATTTTAGCGTGGGGCAGCGCCACGAGGCAGCGCTTTTCCGCTCCGACTCGCCCGCGGAACAGATTAAAGGTAACAAAACCACCCCTCTGATGTGTAACGAATTAGGATTTGTTCCGGTATAAATCAATTGCGTTTTGTAGTACGGATTGGAAGTATTAGCGATTAAAGCATTGGAGTGTGTTTATTGCCACTGAAATCTGGTAATTTACGTTATTGTATTATACACATTATACGTATTTCCTAAAATGTCATTTTACGTGGCATAGTGTTTGTCGTATTTTGGTATACGTATAAGGGAAGAATAGAAAAATGGCAGCTATGCAAAACAAGGTTATTAAAACTGTGAAAAACACTTTTTAAATATTTTTACGGTTCTAGTGGAAGCGTTTGTAATCAGTTAAGTGTAGTATGATTATTTAAATATTACTGACTGAGTAACAGTGCAAAAATATACAGGTATTTACAACAAAAAATAACACCACACTAAACAATTTTTCTTAATAAAAGTGTTGTTCCTCTAAGTAATGTTAAGAGCAATCTTTTTAAAAATATCTTCAAATTTATGTTTGCCTTTCAATACCCCGTACAGGTAGCGATTCAAAAATGGCGCATTGACTCAACTGTACATCATTAAGTTCACAAGTCTAGGTCTGCGAAAAATCATAAAAAAATTCTTTACGTAAATTTGATGTTCACTTAAAAACGAAAATATGGAAAATTGTGAGTAAAGACGTCATGCCTCCAAATATCATGTCATAAAGTGGGTGCGTCATTTTGAAATATATGCAGAATGACTTAATTCGCATTCCTCAGTATGTAATTAATTATAAGAGAGAAAATGAAAGTCACAGACCAAAATCGTAAGGCTTTTTAATTAGCATAAACTAGTTATTTTCGAGTTTACAGTGTTCTTAGTTCTTAGTTTTTTAATGAAACTCCCTGTATATTTTTAGATGTCCTGATTGGTATCCTCTTAACTTTACACGCATATTGTACTTTTAAATTTCCGATGCGACGTTGTCAAATTATCTTATTTTCTAAAGAGACAATAATTGACACAAAAAAATCGAAAAAATTGTTACACGGAGGTTTTTTGATTTCGAGACAACAAATAATTTTCTCAATTTTTCTTCATTTCTGTTAATTTTTATTATCATTAAGTGCTCATGGGCATAAAGCATAAGGATGTCTTAGGCATCATTGCATTCGCAATAGCTTGACTACTCAATGATATGTTTTTTGAATGTGCTGCGATTTATAAATATGACGAAAATCTTAATTGCTCAAAAAACTAAAAGACGCCATTAGGAAAAACGTTGTTCCTAAGGTGCGCGGGAAATGCGATTCCGAAACTTGTGCAGGAATCGCTAACTTCCCACACTTGTTAGAAAAATAACTATAGTGTATCCTATTTAAAAAACGATAAAACTCTAGTCTTTGACTTTTGTTCTTAGTAAAACTAGAAATGGACAATAGTCGTCGTGAACAATTTAAGTTTACTAAAAAATAAAGAGAATAAGTGAATAGGAACTAGTATTTTTTTAAGTTCTTGTAATTAAGGTTTTTCGAATTCCGAAATCACAAACGAGGATGTATAAAATGTCAGTTATTTGTAAATCCGAGGTAATTTAAGCGATTGTTGTTAGGGTAAATGTTTCATTAAAATAATGTCTATAAATTAATAGCAAGTGAGTTTGGAGTTCAGATTTTTTTCGATATATTGTAGTTTGAAGTGACTCTGTTTTATTTGTGCGTTTATTCAAAATTTACAGAAAACAAGAAATCGCGAAAAAACGACAAAAGAAAAAAATATGTATTTTCTTTAGGTTTAATGACAAATATTTCATTTTTATACTGCATAATTATAAAATTTAAATAACTTTGAAAAATTGAAACTTATTGCAATAACTGAAAAGATTATGATCAATGACCTGAATTAAATAGCTTTATATTAATTTAGAAAGTTACAAGAATTTGTTTGGTAAGATATTGTAAAATTGTATCAATGACAATATCTGGTATGTTTTTGTTTTTGTCTTCGTTTGATACACTGTACACGGCTAAAGATTGCCGGCACTTCTTATCATTTTAGAGGTGGAAACGTATCGTATACAAATTTCATTCGAGATACACCCACATAAAACTTTATGACAGATAATTAGTCAAACCCCTGCACAATGGCAACAGTAATTTATTGCTTTTAACACCCTATGCGACCAGATATCGGCACGTTCCGGCCGAATTTTTCAGGGCCGTACTCTGTTAAAAAAATAAGGTGAAATAATAGACAAATTGTATTAGTTAAATAATATTTATAAGATTATAAGTCACTATAACGAGCGACAAGTAAGACGTGAAATCAGTTATTGGAATGAAGACCAATTCAAATCTACCCAAAGTATTTTGGGAATTTGAGTAAACAATTTCATTACCGAGCGCAGGTAAAATTTTCAACTCAACCCGAATACGGCTCTGTATAAAATGACCTGGCAAGCCCTTTTCATAATTTATGGCTGCCGTTTCAGGAGTACCGCTTTTTGAGTGATTGGTGCCATAAAAATTTATGTGGGTGTATCTCGAATACGGTTACTATACCTGTGTCGGATATACCTTTTCTATTATAGTGAATGTACTATCGCAAGTATTGTCGGTACGCAGCCGCGAGAAGTATTAGGTTTCTCCGCCTCCTCTTTGCGGGTTTCCATATTCCCATAAACACTTACAGGTACATAGAATAAAGTAGACAAGGACTAAAATTTCATGGTTTGGAAGTTTTGAATTCGAAAAGAGAACTTTATGTGATAATGTACATATACTAGAATAATTAAAAAATATACTGAATAATTTTATTGCGGGTAAATTTTAAATGGATTGTGTTTTTCATTAATAGATCAACTAGAATCAACAATATTTTTAATCAAAAAATTTATGACGTCATCTCAAAATTTTGCCGGATAAATACTGTCTAAAATATGCAAAATATGATCAGTCTATACTTGTAATTTATCACTGCATTCATATTTTTAGATTTGCTTAAACAGGGTGACTCAAAAAAATTAATGACTGAATTGTAAAAAAAATTAACATCCAATCAGGTTTAGGAATTTAACCCGTTACTGTGGAAATGTGCAATTTAACACCTTTATATTTAACAGGTTTTACAAGTTTAATAGAGACAAAATCAGTCTTACTTAGCAAGTGCTAGCCCCGCTTACCTGCCCCCTATTTTGTCAGAGGATATGTCATTTGCCAAAATAAGTTTTACCTTAGTAAGTATTAGCCCCGCGCACCCGCCCTATATTTTCCCAGAGGGTATGGCATTTGCCAAAATCAGTCTTATCTTAGCAAAAACTAGCCCCGCCCACCCGCCCCTATTTTCTCAGAGGATATGCCATTTGCCAAAATAAGACTTATCTTAGCAAGTACTAGCAAGTACTACTCTGTGAGAAAATAAAGGGCAGGTGGGCGGGGCTAGTACTTGCTAACATAAGTCTTATTTTGGTAAATGACATATCCTCTGAGAGAATAGGGGGCGGGTGGGCTGGCCTAGTAAAGGTGTTAAATTTGCAAAATTACATAGTAACGATTTAAATTCCTAAATCTACTCGAAATGTGCAAAACATGATGAGTTTTTACTTGTGGGTTATTCTTGCATTCATATTTTTTAGATTTGCTTATACAGGTGGCCCAAAAAATTAATGAATGTGTCAATTTATTTTATTGATTAAATCAGGAACGGCTCACTCCATTTTCCAAGAAAATTTTGGCAAACTTATGTTATTTTTAGTATTACACTGCACCAATTCAAGTTGCTATACGTGTCTTTGCACAAATATTGATGATATCATCACAAAATTCTGTAAAGTCAAAACTCAACCCAAAAATGCTGGATATGTTTCTCTGTACTTTAGGTGCGAGGGAAGTTCGGTCGAAGCAGCTATCGATCAATTTCTTTTGTGTATAATGTGGTATCTAAATCCAAAAATCCATTTAATTTTTTTTCGTTTGTCTGTGAGCTTGTCTCAATTTTAAAAATATGCAATAATTTAATAAAAAACTTTTTTATTAAATATTTATACATTTACGAATATTTCTCGAATGTAATCTAGGAAAGTGTTGTAATAGGTTACATTTCAAAAATGTGTTCACTGAAATTCGATATTTATTTTTTTTTTCTCTTTTTGTCTTCCAAAATTTCATGATGTTATCTACAATTTTGCTAAATAAATTGAATTCAAAATATGTTGAATAATACGCTGTCTACCTGTCGTACAAATCAGCACCTGTAAAAACATATAAGTACTCTACTAAAAAAGACTAATTTTTGTATGTTGTATGCATCGCAAAAACAAAACAATCTCTATAACTCTTTTCTTCAACTTTTATTCTATCACTAATATTCTGAGTACTGTTTGTTTTTTTCGGATAGCACTATTAAAATTGTAAACAAAATTAGTGAAATAGTGTAACTTCCACAGTGAATTCAATCATTAAAATGTGGAAGTGTCAAACTGTCAGCAAGTAGCTATTTAGGATAAAATCACACTAGTAATTTTCAAAAAATGTTCAATTCCAGATTCGCTGATCACATAAAACTTGTACAAAATTCTCAATAAATCGAAAGAATCATCTCAAACTGAATTACAAATGAACACCCAAACATTATTTTGTGTAACTTTCTGATTACATTAATAACAGATCTTCAAAAATGACACAATTGACTATTTTTTCTATAAAATATATTCAAGAAATTTTTAGTAGGAATTCTAGTAGTTTATTGTTTGTTTTTAAACAACCGCGCAAATCTGTGCTTAAAATCTGTTAATCAAAATGGGCGAAAGAACGCGACTTTCAGTTTTCATTATCGCGATAAATTTCTCTGCGTTTCGAAGTTTGCATCAATACGGAGAAAATGTTGATTACACAAAGTTCTCTAGAGGTTGCTGAACTTGATGCGCCACACAATGGTGGATGCGCCGGGTTATTGTTACGAACATACTAATGATATGCGAATGAAACGCACATACAGTGAACTATTTGCGATTTCTATTTTAAACAGAATTACTAGA